ATGCCGTAGTCGTTAGACCATTGACCTCGCATCCCTACAAAGCCGGGACGGAGCACGCCGGGTTCTCACCGGACCAGGCTCTCACATCACCAAGCGCGAAGCGCCGTGAGATATTCGGCGAGTCGCATGAAGGGTGCGCTGCATCCTGCAAAGGGTGTTCGGCATCTTGTGCTCACTTCCTTGCATACGGATGAAAGCTGCGTAGACTGAACATATTTTCTGGTGCTTCACTTCTTGAGACAGTTGTAAGCACTGCTGTGTAACTGCCTCGAGGGTGGTTGACCATTTTAACACAACGCGGTGCGATCATCCCCCTTGCGCGAGGTGAGGCTTCTCCACCCCGCACAACATGATCTACTCGACCACCATTCACTGTGGATACCGCCAAAACAAAAACAGAGGAAAAAAAAAAAAACGGTATCCTGGTTGCCGAGTTGCCGAAGCGAATTGGCTCGTTTTACAACGTCATTGCCAAGCGACGAAAACCCAATCCCGATGGCAAACACCATCTTATTTCTTGTTATTTTCGGCCTGGTCCCTTGTTGTCTTCGCTCTTTTTGCTTCATTTTCTCCTTCCTTACTGGTTCTATTTTCTTCTCTTGTTCTCTTTCTCTCTTGTTCTCTTTTCCTCTCTTTTTCTGTGCCAGATGGTCTTGTCTCTGCTTGCGTTGTGAAGTACTAAGATTGAACCAAGGGGGTGTACCTCATTCTCTCCGGCCCGTGATGGTGACTCCTCGTCTCAGTTATCTCGCATAGCGCGCAGAGGGAGTGGAGGACTCCAGAATATCTGTCGTTGATTTGTATTGACTTGCGGACCCCACGGGGCCATTTTATTTGAGTGTACCTTTTTTAGGGTATGTTAGCCTGCGACCACGGGAATCGACCGCGTCGAGTGTTGGATCAGTACGGACATACGAAGGTACCTGGTATAGAGAAATCGGAACGGCTTTACTGTGAAGACAACAACAACAACAACAACACTTCTAGACCCTCCTTATCCTTGGATTATTTCCTCAGATTCTGTTCTTCTCTCTCGGCACAAGCAACAGATATCTTCCCCTTGAATCCCTGTAGACCCTTCGCTTTCAGCGTTTCATCTTCGTCGTGTCGAGCCCCTTCCATATGTCCTCTACAACCGTGACCCATTCCGTGGGTTGTCTACCCCTCTTTTTGTTTGCCCACTTCGCCTCCCATACAATTCTCGGCAACCTCTCCTCTCCCATCCCGCACATGCGATACTGCCATGTCAGCTTCCTCGCGTCTCTTCCCGACCGTAGGGATTGGATCCCCAATTCTGCCCTCACGGCTGCATTACTTGTGCGCCTGGAGCATCCTAGGATGGTTTTCGCTGCTTTCATCTGCGCCGCCTCGAGTTCTTTCACTACCTTCTTATTGCCTTCCCATACTTCCGGCGTACTCTAGCGGCGCTACGATTACGCTCTTCAAAACCTCGTCAATTTGATGCGTGTATCGAGGTGCCGGTTTGCGAGTATTGGGTGCAGCTTCCCTGCTCGTGCTTTGCCCTTTTCCGCTACCTTGGACATGTGTGCATTCCACGAGCAGTCTTTTGCGATCTCTACTCCAAGGTATGTGTACTGGTCCACTACTGCAATCTCCTCGATCCCCCACTTCCATCTATGTTCTACTGGTTCCTCCTTGTTCTCGTTGCATACCATGACGGCACTCTTCTGAACGTTGGCAGACAATCTCCACTTATCAGTAAACTTCTTCGCCGCGTCAATTTGCAGTTGCAGTCCCTCAGGGGTGTCCGACATACCGACAAAATCATCCGCAAACAGCATTCCTGAAACCGACGTTTCCGTGTCCCCTACTTTTACTCCCTTCCGGACTGCCTCTACGGCTTGCAA